AGCAGGCCAAGAGGGGACGATTGGAAACAGGTTGACCAGTAAGTGGGGTGCTGATCAGTGGAGAGATCAGAGCAACGGAGCAACGGTACACAGATCACGTGACCAGCAGAACCTGGGTCACGTGACTAAGAATTTGGATCACTGGATGATTGTTGTGATCCAGTGAGCAGGATCACCTTGGATCACCGGTGATCCAGGGTGAGCCACCTAATCAGTGAGAGAGAGATTGGATATATAAGGACAGACATTTCCCAGCCAGATAGATAGACAGTCTCTACCTCAGTGATCAATCTAAGCATCTTAGCCAACCCTAAGGTGGGAGAAATCTCCTGACGACTCGACTATACAGTGAACCCAGTTCAGACCAAGTCCCAGCATCTGAGTGTCTTCTAATTGACAGAAGCCTCTATCGTCCTTTATGTTGACTTACCTCAGAACATAAAGCCTATAGAACCCTTTAGCCTTATAGGTTAGACGGCTCGTCACAATATTATTATTAATAAAGCAGTAACTTAGTTAGTTTATATTACAACCCAAATTAAAAACCAGTAGAAAAGCTCACTTACATTAATTATTAATATATTAAACTCGTTTTTAGAGGCTGTGTACGATCTTATATATAAGGTCGCTTTTGTTGATTCCTAGGTCTTTAAGCTAAAAGAGGCCAATTACCTACTAAATAAACACTAAAAAATAAAAAACAAATATCTGGTAAAAGGAGAAATATTTTTTATTAAAGATACAATAGGTCTTCAGACTATAAAGGATGGTACTGAACTGACAAGACAGGAAATAGGTGAAGATAGTCGTCGTCCAAGGAGGCAGCAGCGCGTGAGCGACGGTGTGGCGTTTGCGGCAACACTGGCCATAATGCGCGAACTTGTACAATAGAGATAGAAACCTCTGAGGAAGAGGAATCCGATTGATTGAATTGAATTGAATGCATTGTAGTGAAGTTATTTAGCATGGCAGTTATAGAGTTCATAACGAGTGCCAACTTGCTTGTAATGCCAACTCGCTTGTCAGCTACGTTAATATATATAAAGATTAAACTTTCAAAGCTATAAGGCTGCTACTTAATGCCGCAACAACCTCCTTCGCCCCCCTTCTCCCTCGCCCCCCTTGTGGACTTTAATGTCGCGTGCTGGCATGGAGTATTATGACGACGGGGCAGTCGTCAAGCGCAAGAAGGCTGAAGCGGCCATCCGCAAGCAGTTGGCCGTCGCTCGTGTGCCTCTCCTCAATGCCTCAGGCAACCATTCTGCACAGGCAAGAATTTTCTGTACAGACGACCGTTCTATCCGCAACCTACCCTCCGTTGTTGTTGTTGTTGTTGTTGTTGTTGTTGTTGTTGTTGTTGTTGTTGTTGTTGTTGTTGTTGTTGTAGCATTTAACGCCGGGAGGACTGCCGCGTAGCGGCGTCAACCAGGGGCTCCAAGAGGCCGCTCAGGCGTGCTAGGCTAGGTCTTCTATGTACATACACTGCCCATCTAGCAGGTCAAGTCCGTAAACAGCCACCACAGTTAAACGGCGGATCACACCGTGTCCCCCATCCTCCGGGTGAGGGGAAGTATCGGCTGGGGTCCCAAATGTTCAGTTTTCAGGGCGCAACGCCAGGTTCAGTGCTCTTAGAGCTTACAGTAGGTGCCGCGGCATGCCGCAGTGGTTCTTACGCGCCCCGTGAGACGTTAAAAAGGAAAGAAACCTACCCTCCGTCTAACGCTCCGACGAACATCACGAGACTTATGTCTTTCGGACTGCAACCTCCGCCGACAGGCTCCAAGATCCTCGCGCCGAATACAATTGCAACAACGTGATAGCTTGACGATGATGGCATGTATAAGAGTTGACGAACGGACAGACGAACAGACAGAGGAACAGACAGAGGAACAGACAGAGGAACAGACAGAGGAACAGACAGAGGAACAGACAGAGGAACAGATATATGCTTGTCAACCAGCGCCATCATCCTGGAATAATACCATCCCGCCTTCCTCCTCATTACCCCCTACCGCTACATGGAGCTGTTCGACAGCCCCGAGAAAAACGAACCACCCGAATCCAAACATGGACTAAACGACCATTGTTACCATGTATCGATCTAGACGTCTACTTCCCGTCTACCACCCGTCTACCTATCAGCTCGACTTCCTGTCGGAAGTTCGGATGACCACACGAATCCGCGCGCGCGCTGCACTTGCCATGATCGGTCTTTCCTCTTCCCCTCATTCTCTTCTTTGATCTGGTCTGGGTTGATTTATCCTTGTCTTTATATCGCCACTGCCATCCATTGCGCATAAGGCTATACGTACTGAGAAGCTTGACTCCGGTCCTTCAGCCGCATCTTCCGTCATGTTCGACCACAGGTCAGACAGCCATTCATCCAGAGAGAGCTCCAATGGTCAAGTCAATCGAGATCCGATGAGCCTTCCGAGTTGAGTAGCTCAGCACTATCCGGCAACATATATACTCGACCATCTTCTACCACACTGTCTGGAAGGCTGTCGAGACTAGCCAGGAGGACCGCAGCGCTTATCGGGTTCTGTCAGACGTCAACCGCGGTATTCAAGTGGCCCTTCGTGCATTAGACACAGTCTACTTCCCCGACGAGGAAGACAAGTACATGGAGGCTGTCTGTGTTCCTGCTCGCTCGCTTGGCTTTAAAGCTAAATGCTCTTCGTCACTAAGCTAACGCATAATGCCGGATGCCTGGCGAGGCGACACCAGACGAGGCGAGTCGACACCTAGCAGCGGTCTGCCTGCATTGTATATGAACAGGCTGGCTGTGCGCAATGCCTTTCTTGACTGCGCGAGGAGGACAGATGGCTTGAGGGAATGGACACCTGGCTAGCTGGCTGCTGGATTGCCGAATGGATGATAGCTAGACAAACCTACCAGACGAGCCGGCCAGCTTTCACAGTAGTGCCGTCGCCCGCACTGAAGGAATTATTTAAAGGTCGCTGGGTGGAACTTTTGCAAGATGGAGGTGATCAGCTGACCCAAGATGGAGAAGCAGGCTCGATCTTGACAAACAGGAAGACGCTGCTGGTGGACAACATGGGATCCCTGTCGATGGAGGAGGTGGCGCTCATGGAGATTACGTTGGCGGAAGAAGGCAATCTAGTATCTACCCCTATTCCGCGCGACCCAGGATTGCCGACGTGGTAGCATCTTGTCTTTGGCAGCTGATTGACCTGATCAGAGCCTGGAGACCCACAGATCAGAGGCTATACACGGTCCCATGCTATGCTATGCCATGCCATGCCGCACCGAAGCCTTCACTTACCGTGCGGACGAAGAATTTGGAGCAGTTGCCTCGGTCCTATTTATGAGACTACGGCTCGCAACCAAGACTCTTTGCGTAGCTCGTGCTCGGGCATTGGGCCAATTTGTCTTATGAGGTACTAAACAGCCAGGTTCTCCGCGTTCATGTCTGCGCAAGTGCATAAGTGACAACTTTTAAATATCGCCTCGATTCTTCTAGTAGGCTGCTTCGGCAAGGCAGCCGGTCATGTGTGCTCAAGGACCGGTGAAAAGGGGTTCAGGGGCTGGAGAGCGGGGTATGCCACAGGTGCGGGGCACGATAATTCTTCCGCGCTGGTCATCGTGCAAGCATCGTCATAGAGAACGCCCAGAATCAATCAATCAGTAATATGTACGTGCAGTAAGTACAGGAGATACTCTATGAATAGACCTCCGTATAGTGAAAGCGCGCGTGGAACACCAAACCGAGTCAGGCGGGCGGCCGGGCGGTCGGGCGGGCACACAAGCAGCTGCGCTCACTCCCGTCCCATCTCAGACTGGCTCCACGAACTCATCCACGAGTAAACCAGCACATGCCGACAGTCTCACTTGATGCTTGCGCAAATAGTCATGATATTTCGTGTGACCATCTGGCACAAGAGCGAAGCATGGTCGAACCTCAACCCAGGGGATCCGGTGCAGTCGGGCAGGCGGGCGTATGGCACGGAAGAACGCAAGATGGTGGACCTGCGGCGTCGCACTGGGTTCGGGCGGACTTCATGTTGCATAGGTATCGATTGGATCGTTTGGTTGCTTCCCATAAGACGACGACGACGACGACGACGACGACAGCAACGGGTGCTCTATGGCCCATCTACTAGCAGCCATGTTGAACACATCCCGCTGCTGCCGGTATAGGGGCGCCGGTCTCGTAGACGGCAGCCTTCGATCCTCATATCTGGCGTATGCTGCGAGGGCGTAGTATGATACCGCTCACAAAGCGTGATATGCTTTGGTCTACGGACTGTATGGTATGTTATAGTTGAGGAAGACATGGACTGTCGGCCCCCGGTCGCGAGACTTTATGATGGACGGCTATGAGAAATTAATACTGTAGTAATTATGTCTATAGGGTCATCGCACCTTGGGGTATGAACACCTGAGCTATCTTAGTAGCATACCTAGTCTGTCCCTCCCTCCCTCCCTCCCTCCCTCCACCCCCCATTCCCTCTCGGTCCTGACACCCCAAGCACCAGGCTCAGCTCCTCCACCAGGGAGACCAGCCCCGTCTTTCCTCTTCGCAGCTGTGCCGGCCTTAAGCTCCGAACCAGGAGACTGCCCGTCAATTTTACGCGTAGGCGAAGGTGCATTGACTCTGGTTCGGCATCGGGCACGTTCTCATTCTCGGCTGAGAGCAGGTTTGGAACGATTGTGATAGCCTACATGTCCATGGCCTCCTCTATGTTACTAGTGGGTATCATGAGACCGTGTCCGGTGTTAAGAACTCCGATGTGCTGTGGTCGGGGAGTTGAGGCTTTTTCGCCTCTTTTTTACTGGGGAAGAGAGGCCCCGTGGCAGGAAGTTCGTACAAGCCTCGTACAGACTTCCCATCACCCTCGCAAAACGCAACGGTTCATCAGCACCCCAACAAGACCCGGAAGCCTCGCCATCCTCCCATACACAGCCACCCCCCCTCCACACGCCCAGCTACTTCCTCCCCGTCTTTCTTCCACTCAGCCGACCGACGCTGCTCTGGTTTAGTCTTGGTCTTGGTCCCGGTCTCGCTCGGCAAGACCCATCATCTCGACAACGTCCTCCCTGCTGTCAGTTTCGAGATCGGCACCGAACTCGAGCAGCACATCCACACCCATGCGAAGACGACATGTCTCCGGTGGACGGTCAGGCTGGCAGATCTGTCCCCGCTAGCAGGCTAGCGGCTGTGGTTTTCCGAGAGTATCGGACTACCTGCCTAGCAACCTCCTCGGCTTCGGTCTTGATCCCGGTCACGGTCTCGTTCTTGGGATAGGCTTTCTTATCCTAGGAAATCCGTCCAGAACTGCGATCTATTATCTCGGACGGTGTCGCAGCGTAGTCGAGGAATGACACTTGGGTTCGAGTCTTGGTCATGGGAAAAGTGCCGCAACAGAGAGTAGCGGTGGTAGATACAGGCCGTGCCTGGGTCACGGGTGGTGATTTATGGATTGGCGCTCGCTACCCTTGGGGGTTGAATCCGGCAGTTAAACCGGAAGTGCTTCTGAAGCAGCCACGAGGCGAGGCGTGTTGAGAGTTGATTGGGTCCGACTGATAGTTGCTTCGTCTCTGGGTCGGATTGGTTGTCGGCTTGAGCGCTACCGAGAGTCTTTTTGGAAGTAGAGGAGTGTAGGTCGAGCAAGGTCAGCGGCTGGAAGACACCAGCGTAACCGTCGCGTGCCATGCTTGCGAGTCGGTGTAGCTGCGTGGTGTTGTCGTTGTCCAAGAGGTATTATGTCGGACTGGCTTATCGACAGGGTCAGGCTATGGATGGTTTGGTAGCGCGCGTATAAAAGGAGGTCGGTCTGTTGGATGGATATGGTATCGAAGATGGACGACTGGGCCGTTTCGTCGTCGAGTTTGTGTTTTACTGTCCTTGGTCTACTACCTTGTTGCTGCTTCCATCGCCTCTCGCCTGGTCGGCCAAGGCATTACGAGCACAACAACCTCTCCAGCACCGTCCACACAATCTCAGATCACGGTCTAAGACCACAATCTTGCTTGCCCATAGGACTGTGCACAACACCTGATAGAAATATACTCGATATCGACAACCAGGCCCCTGATCTCCGTGCCGTGCATCTATAGCGGCCGGCGAAATCATACAAACACCCGCCTTCAGCTTGTTTCGGAACAGCGACAGCGCGATCACCGTCACTCCGCTTGGGAATAGTAGACTTTGGCTGTTGGCGAGCGACTGGCATCTCGACCTTTGAAGAGAATGATTCCCTCGCTCGAGTCCCAGCCAAGATTAGACTCGGGCTCTTGGTGCTGCTCATGGCTGCTCATCAATAGAAGGAGATCTGCCGCCGCCTCTCGGGTGCAAGACGACCGATGCCCAGGGCGGAAGAACAAGAACGCGACGCCGCTGCTGGCCGAGAACTAAGCAGTCCACGCGGGCAGAGAATGAACCGTGTACGTATGGCTGGTAACCACTGAAGTGCAAGCGATGACGGCCCTGTCCTGCTTCCTGCCCTCATCAGCGCCCCGTCCAGGCTGTCTATGTGCCACGGTCATGACAAGGTTGCATGGGCATGGTGAGGGTTCTTTCGCCCGGGGCCTCGAATGTAGAGCCGGGCTGGGCGGAGAAGGGCTGGACGAGAGAGTCGGTTAAGATGTCGATGATGGTCTGGCTGCTCTTGTGGCTGGAGCCGGATGGGATTCAGTCAGTTACAATGCGTGGACAAAAGTCTCCGCCCGATCCCCAATTTTACCCCTTCCATCTACTATACCCTCCAACTCAATTGAACCATAACGCATCCAATTCTGGTGATAGAATTCTCAAATAAATTGTATTTAATAACTAAGTCAATAGTGTGTATACCAACCACCGGCGCGCCTCACTGCAGCTATTCGGTCCTCCAGTGACTCCATCAAGGCCCGAACCTGCTCCGGATCGATCTCTGACCATGCCTGCTCAATTAACTCGTGTGCGTAGCGATAATAGGGGATATTATCCTTCAATTTAGAAAATTCAGGCTTGATTTCACGTATGTTCTTCTTCAGAAGTCGCCAAACGTGCTCGATTGGGTTCATATCAGGGCTGTGAGGAGGCCAGTCGATACAGTGGATGCCGTGCTCCTCCATCCACTCCGGAACACCGCCAGTGAGGTGAATTTTCGCTTTATCTTGAACAAAAGGATCTCCAGCCTCGTAGAACGGAAGCAGGCCTTCCTCAAGAACCCATTTTTATGACTCTGTGGATACTCCTCTGCGCGGAGCATCCGGATCGAGTGGGCAGAAGACCAACTTGCCTAGTCCTCCTTCTCCGCCGCGTAGCCAGATCATAGACCACACCATTATCGAAATATGAGATTTGCCGTGATCCGTCTCGTTCACGAGATCATAACGGTACCGCTCTGAAGAGAATCGGATGGCCCAATCGCCTGGATTATCGGATGAGTTTTGGACCGTACATTCGTCTAAGAACATAGCTCGCAACAACTCCTCCAGGCGCTCTGGTGTGCTATAATAATTGATAAAAGCGAGCCTTTTCTGAGCGTCCTTATCTGTGAGCTTGATTCGCTTTGCTGCACGCCACTTCTGGAGGCCGTATATGTGACATATCCTCTTGATAGTCTTAGGAGAGCACGAAACGCAGGCTTTGTTTCGAATCTTCTGCCACGTCGCCCTGGGGAGCTCTCTCGCCTTTTCGATCATATGAGCGCATTTGCGAGTATTCAAAACGGGTGGGCGACCGCTCCTTGGGGCAGATTTCGGTGTAGAAGTGGCCTCAAAGTTGGTAGTAATACCGGAGATGGTTTTCAGGCGCTTTGTTTTAAACGCGGTTATAACATCCCTATGCGTTCTGCTGTCGATTCGCGCCGCCACGATTGCTGAGCGAGCTTCTGAAGTGAATTCGCCGTTAGCGACGCGATTACCGCTTAATTCGTCCCCAAAAGATCGTAAATCCATTATCAATTGCGGTGTTGAGAGAGTGGTGAAGTCGAAGGGTGATTGACGCGTTGTTTTGATCTGAAGGAGATTGTGGTGGGTCGGGCGGAGACTTTTGTCCACCCAGTTTACGTGAAAGACAGGCAGACAGTGGACCGGTTGGATTGGTGGCTGGCGGTGTGTTGTTTGATGCAAGACGGACTGAAGAATGGAAGAAGGGGGAGGGAGATGGGACGCTTTTACCGCAAGACTCAAGACGGCCAGCTCTGTCCGTCGTGTCTCTTTGCCTGGTTGTCTCTGTGCTCATGTTCCCAGCGCACCTTTTCTCGTTGTAGCCGTACTGGACCATTGAGCTTGAAGGATGAGGAGGCTGAGGAAGATGAGGAAGTTGAGGTCGATGATGATGTTTTAGTTCAGCGAAATCGAGCACATGAATGTCAACGCTTACCTGCGCCGAAGCCAACCCCTTTTTACCCACCTGTACAATGCCAGTTGCGACGACGCATCCACAAGGCGCTTCGTTTCTCTCTTCCGAAAGTGCAGTGTGCTGCAGTTCATCGGAGCGATCGTTCAGATTACCTGCTTAGATGCATCTGCCCGATTCTACTGCTGGCTATGGTCGGCCTGTGGGTTGGGAATGCCTGGGAATGGCAGCCAATTGTGACTCGATCAGGTCACATGGTCGTCGAGCTCATGCGATCGGGCGGGCGGGGTCCCTAAGCACAGCGGGCATAGGCACTGCAGGGGCCTAAGTGCCCTGTAACCCCGCCACAACGCACTGCAGCAGGTGACCACGAAGGCCGCGGAAGCACTCCGGCCCCAGCCCAGCCAATCCCCAAGTTCCCCGCCCTTGCACAAATATCGCCGCGGAAGAACCCAATCCCCTAACAAACAAAGTGCGGGCAATTGGCCGAATGGTCAAAGCACTTTTCTTGCAACTCGAACCTAAGCTCCTGTCGTGTATACACTGGGCATTGTGGGATCAATGGCACTGGCAAACTGGTCATAAACCAGGGCGCTGACGGTTGGAGGCGCAACGAGAACTTTCTACAAGTGATGAGAATACGCTACTACGCTACATGCGAAGGGTTCTTGCTTGACGAGATCCTGACCAACTGCGACAAAGCCAACAATCTCTGAGTAGGAAAAAAAAAGTTGGGACTTGGGTGAGACTTTTTTTTGGTTGGATTGGGGGAATATTCCAGGGCGATGGTGGGAGGGAGATGGAGAGCAGTGGAAGATAGGAAGGAGTGTGTATGCTTTTGCTCCGATGCGTGACGTGTTGGCTTTGGTCGTTTGTGGGGCACGGAAGAACCGGGGTCGTGTATCTCCCGTCGAGGGAGTCCCATACATATGTACTAACGGAAGAAAGACTAATGCAGTGTCCAAAGCCTAGTTTTTTTTTGCTATTCATTCATTTCGCCCTGTCACCGCGATTGAATGTCGTGGCGTCGCTGGGAAGCAAACAGCGTCGGATCCAAGTCGCATGCGGTATGTGCGGTCGCACCATGAGCAGACCAAGACCACTCCAAGTGGCGAATTCGAATGGAATAAAAGCCCCGAAGTCCACTACTCTCAAGAATGCGTGCCCTCTCCCCAAGAGCTCGGCCGGTCATCTATCTCTCAGGATCACAAGTATGTAACCGCACCTGCCGCGCTGCATTGACCCTGCACTGAGTTCGTTTTCCAGCACCCCGAGCTCTAGGTAAATGCATATGGCCATGCTCAGCCCAGCTAAATCCGCATACCATGTCTGCCGTGCCAAACCAGCCGAGCTTGAACATGTATTTCATGGCCATGCGAATGCGAGACAGGGGCGTTCGTCTACTTTGAAGCTATCTCTCAACAAACGAACGCCTGCGCCTGCGCCTTGCCTACATCTAATGGCCGGCAATCGAATCCAAGCCTTCTTTACTATGTCCAGAGGTGATACACCCTCGTTGGTGTGGTACATATACCTGCCTATGAAACGGGTGTCTTCCTAGCCGTAATGTGATGGGCTTGTCATCGTTGGAGAAGACGAACAGCATGCATACGACGCGACACAGCGGGAGACAAGAGGGCGGAGGGAGGCAGGCAGGCTGACGATCGATGGGATGTATAGCGCCCCTTTTTTCTAGTGCTTGTTCCGCACCATATATTGATGGTGGTGGACCGATGACTATATATGAGTCAAGTTCAACCTGTCTGGGATGGTGAAGGAAGCAAGGTGTAGGTACTTACCTACACATGTACATCCAGAGTTCTCCTGTTACTAGTGCGGCACCGACGCGGACTGCGAGTACGAGGGGTGTGCGCGGGGCCAGTGGGGCGAGGGGCTCGTCAGGGGCCGGGTGGCAGCGTCGACGAGTAGGGCGGCGGGGAGGGCGGCGGGTACGGGGTCGGCTGCGGGATACGGATTGCGAAACAGCAGGCATGGACGTAGGGGTCCTCGGCGTCGTGGTCGGGGAGAAAGAGACCGGTGGGCCAGGTCTCGTTGAAGTAGTCGAGTGTTTTGACGTCGCATGGGTGTGCTGTACGGGGAGGCGCTTTCGTTAAGGCTTGGGAATCGGAACTGCGATTGGAATGATGATTGCGACTGCGTCTTGGCTGCAACCATGGCCACGTGCTTTTCAAAAGGCCAACAAATCGTGGTCGTAACGCTGCCACAACGCATTAATCAGGCAGAAGGACTGTCCTAACCCTCACAGTCGACAAACGTCAAGTCCACACCCACATCCCCAACCCATCCAGAAACCCACACCTTGGATACCGACGACATGTCTGACTTGGCGTCCTGCGTTCGATTGA